CATACATAGATGGCCTGCATGGTCCAATAGAAAAAGCTTAGTCAAAGATGTATATTTAAATTTGGCTCTGCCACTTACATAAAGGATCCCCTGAGAGACACTCTAAAGCAGTATATCTCAAATTTTAAATGTGCGTATAAATCACCTGGTGATCTTGTTAAAATGCAGATTATGCTTAAATCAGTATGAGGGGTGGTCTCTGAGATGCTGCATTTCTACCAATCTCCCATGTACACTGATGCTGCTGGTCCCTGGACCAACTTGGAGTAGCAAGGCCTTAGAATATTATTGAAAGAACATGTGAAAAGTACTTGCATACATGAGAAAACATTCTGTGAATGGTAAAATGACATAAGTATTACTTTGTGTTGATTAATAATATATTGTTGGTGATTCAGTTCCACTCATCAAGAAAAAGTCCTAGTAGAATAAATTATGTTCTAGATATTCTTCAGTTTTTCCTCTTTAGCAAAATCAAAAACAAAAATGGGAATTGGAAAGGCAACCCAAAAGATATATTCATCCTAAACAATTTTGCTGCGTTTTGATTGCTTTGAAAGACTAACTTCCATATCACTATCCTAACTAAAAAGATGGAAAAAAAAACCCTGCTTTTTAAAAGAAATCTGTACAATTAGACACAGACCCAGATTTGTCTTGTGGATTGTCTTATCCCAATCAAAATAGAAATAGTAAATTACCAGGAAAAAGGAAGACAGCTGGCTCTAGGAACACTGGCAACAAGAAGAAGATATTGCTGAAAGGGAAGAAATTAAAAACTAATAAAAGCAGACACAAGAACACAGAAATCAGAGCTGTATGAACATCTAGTTTCCTGAAGTAAAACGGTGTTTTTTCATCGGTGTTGGCATTTTCTGTAAGAAATGAACAAAATTGACAGGTACAATTATTGATTTCTAAAGCATTTCTGTGTTCTTTATCTAAAGTGTAATCAACAATTCCTGTTCAAGTGTCAGTTCACAAATTGGCTGTGGTACAGCGAGAGCAAAGAGAGATCGAAGAAAGAGGCGGGCCACGCCAGATTCATAGGTGGCAGGTTTAATAAGCAAGGGAACTTAACAGAAAAGGCTTGTCTTGGGTGACCACAAGATGAGATCTCCACACCAGCCTGACAGATTCTCAGAAGTTTGTAGAGAGGTCTTAACTGGGTCCAGTCACATACACCGTCCGAATGGCCTCAACAACACATTGCTTTCTCAAGGCTATGTCCTTGAAAACGGCCATGGCTGTGGGAACGTGGGCAGAACATACATTCATTCCAAAGACGGGCAGCAGGTAAGAAGTTTCCAATTGCCTGGGTTCAGCTTGAGGGTCAACCGGAGGTCACATCCTCTCAATGAACTCCTCCAACATCAAGAAAACATACACCCTCTCTGAGGTCCCAGTCCCACAAGATTTTGGCCAAGCTTTCATTGTCACATGGTCATTTACTATACTATATGAAGAAGACTTTCATCGCATATCAGAAATGGCATAGCAGGTCCCTGCCATGGAATAGAAACCCTTCTTGATCATTTAAGTTTGGGATAGAATGACTCCATGTCCTAGACCAAGGTCACTGACACCTTACCCAGGTTAAGCAACAGCTTGCTTGCCCCCATGATGGATCTCTTTACAACGGTTCTGGAGGCACCATGATTATAGAATTAAAAACTCTGCTTCAAAGATGCCAGAAATTCATCAGACTCACCTTTCCCTGAATTTTACACTTTGTCTTCATGCTTCCATCCTGTCTATATTCTCTCACTTGTTTGTGGTGAGAGACAGCATCATTCATAACCCAAAATGCCAGGGTATTGTTAAACAAACATGTATGAATGACAACTTAGTTTGGTGTCATCAGAGAGGGGAAGAAATGATAAATTAGACTGAAATCTGATTAATTGTCAATGTGTTCTGAAAGCACCATTCCTTTGAAAGATAAATTGAAAGTAAAACTATTAATATCAATTATTAACTTAATTCCTTCGGCCAGTCAATACCAAATCATGAGGCCATTTAAATGCAGAACAGTCACTGAATGATTTGGTTCTGAAAGCATTCAAGACGCAGACACTGACAAATGTTCAGAGATACCAGAAGTGCTCTCATAGTAGGGAATATCACACGCCTGACAGTTGTTCTTTTCGCTAGCCCTGGGTAATCTGGTTTACCTTCCCCGACTGGGTGGCTTCGCAATTAGGCAGTTCTTCACTCTCCAGTTGCATCACCTAAGAAAACCTGAAGCTTTGAGGACGACCTAGCAGAGGTTCCCTTCCACAGGAACACTTGTGTAGTGCATCAGGAGTGGTTTTAAATGGTGGAGATAATTACTTAATTCAAGCTGTAGCAACTGGCCAAGTAAACATGTAGCAGCCAGGAAGCTATTAGCATGATTTTAAGGCAATTATTCCATTAGTGTTTAATAGTCTCCAATTAGTCGTCTCTGACTATCAAAGTTTAAATGTCTTTTTTTCCTCCAAAAATTTTCACAGTTGAGTAATATAGAAAGATGCCAAAACCCATTTTTAAACCTGGATTTATATGTATGGATCTACCAAATCTACATTACAGAGTCATGGAGGAATTCGGGGGTATAGATTTGGAGAAATAGGTTTTGGGTTTTTTTTTTCTCAGAAGTATTGGGGAGTGAGAATGGGAGGCTTTGCAGGGGATCCACTTAGTATAATAATAAGAGGGGTTAGGAAACCAGTGGAAATTCCCACTGGATCCAAAGCCATCATCTTTACGTCTCTACTCTAAGACAACCAGAATATCAAAGTCTCCGATCTCAGGTTTTCAATGTATTCCATGGGGAGGAAAGGAAATTTGCCCTGCTCCTGCTAATGCATATTTCCTTGTCCCTTCAATCTGGTTCTACTTGTTGCTGCTGAATTATCCAGATAAGAACTTCAAAGCATTTCCACCACCCGCCTCCACTCCACTCCAAAATCCTAAGAGATCTTCCCTAAGAACTGCTTTAGGGGTCAGATCACTGAACTGATAGGTCAGTTGTCTTCACCGAGCTGCAATTTTTACATTTGTGAAATGGAGTTAATAGTACCGGCAATGCCTGCTTCACAAGGTATGGGAAGGACTATGTGACCTGATGTGCAGAATAGGGCTTTCAAAAGTGAACTATTACAGAAATATAAGGTAGATTCAGACAGGGTATCACACCATTCCTCAGAACTAGCAGTGTGAACTTAGGCTTTTAGCATCTCTGTGTCTCTGGACTTATCAGAAGGCTGGCATCAGGGTCCTTGTCTTTCTTACCTTCTACATTTGCAGAAATGCTCAGGTGAGACCATGTGAAAGTAACTAAAAAAAAAAACATAGAAAAAGGAAGGGGGGAAAAAGAGACTAGGAACTGCTGTGGAAGTGAGAGTGGAATTTTGCCAACAAAGTTGTGTACTTTGTACTGTCTCCTTCAAAAGAGCAATCCCCAGGGTCACCCAGGCGGCGGGGTAAACGTAGGGTGGAGAAGCTGAGCTGTTCTTGTCCTTGGAGATACCCGGGCTCTTGGGAAGCCGCCTCTTGAAGATGGGCAAAAGGAGACAAGCTCTTCCCTTCCGAGGTTGGCGCTTCGAGTGTAGCTAGCCTATGCCTATCAGAGCCACCAAACATCCACTTGATTAAGGACCACTGATTTGAGTTACCGATCAATTCCAGCTCTGCTGGTTAGAGCCTGTTGGGATTTTCAAGAGAACCCTTCTTTTGCTTTTTATTTTTTATTTTACTTTTTGTAATTATGTTTCCCCCAAAAAGCTGAGAGGGGGCGCTGGATGGGGCAAATCAAGAGGAGGTAGACCGAAAGTCTGAACTTGATAACCCGGGTCAGCTAGGGGCAAGGGTGGACTACCTGTCGGTCATTCGCCCTTTATCCTGGTCCTGCAAGGATCAGGGGTCTGCTCCCTCAACCCAAGTGAAAAGTCAAATTGGTAAGGAAGTAAGGCCGTGTCCCAGCTGTCGCTGTGGTACTCTGTCCTGAAACGTCCTCTCTCAAGCACACCTGAGCGAGGGGCTGCTGCGCGCGCCTGACCCCAAAACCTGCCCAGTCCTCGGGTCCAAGTCGCGCGCCATATGCTGAAGACTCTGGATGCCTCCCGTCTCTTACTCGCTTTGCCCAGACTTCCTTTCTTCTAGGCTGTCTGGTCACCATCGCAATCACCTTTTCCCTAGGGTTTGCCTGTTCATCCTGGCCCTCCGCACCTGATCACGCAGTTCCCCTGCCCGGGTCTGTCCCGAGCAACACACGCACCGTCCGCAAGGGTTCGTTTTCCTGACTCGGGCGCTATTCGTGGCTAACAGCGCTCGGACCAGAATCCAGACAGTGGCCACCCGGCCTGGCCCTCCGGGTCCACGCGGACTACGAAACGGTGCCCTCCGTCCCTCGCCCCCTTCAGCTTCCAGTCAAGGGCAGCGATCGCGCCGCTGCCCTTCCCTCAACTTTCATCACTCTTGGGGAAGCGAGCGCTTTGTTTCTTTAAAGGAGACCGGGGACGACTATTATTGACTGAAGCAGGTTCAAACCGAGGTATCTACCAAACCCGCTGGATTCCGTGACAGGGATGGGATCGGAGGTCCAAGAGCTGAAACCAAGCCCTTAGGACCCCAGCTCGCGCTTACCGCGCACGGTCGCCCCACAGATCCAGAAGCCCCCACCCCACAAGTCTGCGGAGAAAACCGAGGGAGGGGACAGCAGGCTGCATCCGAGAGTCAAGCCTTTCCCTTGCCCCAGCCCTCTCAGAGAGCCTGCTTCCAAAGCCCGGTGAAAAGCAGTCACCTTGACTCCCCACGCCACGGTCCCCAGAGGTTTGGAAAAGGCCAGAAGGCCCGAGGCTCCCGGGCACGCGCTCCCCAGGACCGAGACCCACCCCTGAAGACGAGTTTCCCTCCTGCGGGCATCTTGGCAAGTTACCACTTTAGTGGCAGATAAAGCAGGGCGGGGCGGGTGGAGCGGGACCCGAGCGCCGGGTCCGCCGCCTCAGCGCGCCTACCTGGGATGGCTAAATTGGTGAGGGGGATGCCGTGGATGCTCTCCGGTAGCGTTGCCATCCAGTCGGCGATTTTCAGCTCGCTCTTCCCTTGAGACGAGGCCATGGTGCCGGTCGGCGTGCCGCGCGCTGGTCCCCGCGCTCCTCGGGCAGGATGGCAGGCTGCTGCTGCAAATCTGATGTTTGCTCCAGCCCCGCTCGAGTTTACACTCCGCTCTGCGCCACACCCACAGGATGGCGCAGACACACGCTACTGTTAATAATTATTTAAAACAGCCCATGCTCCCTTAGTGCCTCCGCCAGACCCCACCGGAGCTTTTGTTCCTGACGTCCGCGCTGAGATTTCTCCTCTCCCCCCTCCCTCACCGACTCCCTCCTCCCGTCTCATCCGTCCTATGCGTCTCTGCCTTTTCTCGCCATTCTTGCAGCGTTCCTAGGCTGCTTCTTGTTACTCTTTTTAAATGATTACTAAATTTGGTCTTGCTCGGCCCTTTGATGTGACTACCTAGCTTTGTTTGTATAAAAGACAGTCTGGTCTTGTGGTTGAACCTAATATCTTAGGAGACTTTGGGATGCTATCACCTCCTGGAGGGCAGACTCTCACATATTGCCTTTCAGGACTTCACCTTCTTACCAGAGCTTTCCTTTCTTGTAAGCTACAACAGGTTATGTGTTTCCCCAGCTGGAGCCCACAGGCCTGCTTGTAACAAAATGGTGGTCTTCACTCAGCACTTTACCTAATTTTTGGAGTAGTTGACAAGTGTTCTCTCAGCAAAAGGCAGTCCATATATTAGGTGGTTCCTATTTAATCCCTTGCATCCTGTTCCAGACATTTCGAGGTAAAGAAGCACTTCATTTCCTGGATTCTGAGAAATCTATGTTATTTCGACGGAGAAAGCTGCCTGCGTCCTCTCTGTGCCATTTTCCTGGATCAAAGACCGAACTTTGATGCTAGAATAAATTCACGTTTCCCAGTGACAGGCTGTAATTATAACCAGTGGCATCTGGTGGAATTTATTTGGCACCATTCAAAATGATCTATGTGATTGTCTGAATTTTCATTCCTTGGCAGACTAGAAGGATGCGCTTCTCCAAGAGAAATCACTTGCTGAGCCTCCAAAGAATTGTCTTGGTCCACCTCCTCTCGGATGAGAAAGAGGAGAGAAACCAAGTCTTACAAATGTGATGAATCCAGGAGTGGCCCAAGGAGGAACGATAAGTGATGGACTGAAAATGTGCTGGGTCTTTGCAACCCAGAGAATGTAGATGCATAATGGTACTCCTAAAGTAAAAGGTTAGGGAAATGAAAAACCAAGGTAGGAGCAAGAACTGTAAAACATGGGAATGATTATTTCATTTAAGTAAACCATATAGCATTAAAAACAACTGAAGCTTGCTTATTGTACAAGGATGCAGAGTCCAAAGAATGTTACAGGTAGGAAGCACTATGGGAAAGATGGCAAAAGGAGAGATAATGCCTTATCCTTGTGATCACGTGCTCCATTCTCCCACAGAATCAATTCTCAGCTTCAAGAGGACATGGTAGGGTTACTTTAAGAATAAGAAAGATGTACTGGGATTTTTTTTTCCCCAAAGTAAATCTAAACACTCTTGCTAGTACAGTGGAATGCACATATCCTTTTGATGAGAGTGAGAATTTAGCTCACCATAAGATTCTTGGTCAAGAGACCTACAAACACTACCCTTCTGGCCAATGTTGGTGCTCTGTGGGCATCACGGGAGGGCAATGAGAGCTCAGATCTGGAAATCAGCTGCTCTGACTCTGAGGAGTTTGGGCAAGTCTTCTAGTCTCTGCCAAACCTATCTGTTTCCACTATAAAATGGTGATAGTAACTCAGAGATTTGCAGTGAAGCCTCCAGGAAAGCATGTATAGGAAAGAGCTTTGTTATCAGCAAAGCATCATACAAAATGTGAGGTTTTATGTTGATTAAAACAACAGCATATGTGTATTTCCCTCTCTTTGCCTTTTCTATTCTTATAAAATATTCATTTTCAAGAGGATGGAATCATTGTTGACTCTTGGGCATATTTTTTGATAAGATACACTTTTAAAACATGTCTATTCAAGTGTGTTGAACTTGTGTGTCTCTAAAAGATTACAGAGCATTTCAAAAAACTGAAAGCACCTTAAATGTAGAGGAAAGTTGCCACTATAAAGAATCGTACACTGTATCTTTTAGTAAAGCAAACAAATAACCCCTCTCTTGTTTTATCTTCTTTGATTGTCAGAATTTTTCATGTATTGGTTTTTGCACAAAATTTTACATGTCTCCACATGTAATTCACTAGAAAAGAAAGGGCTGGCATTTGATAGTTCTGAATTTCTTTCCCAGATGTATAATCAATATTTTAGGCAATTTTATGACCCAGTTTCCCCATCTTTCTACTATCAGCTCTGCCACCACTTACTAAATTGTATTAAGAAAACCATGGGCCGGCGCATTGGTTAAGAGCTGGCTTGGGATGCCAGCTCTGAGCAGCAGGGCCCAGTCTCAGATCCCACATGAGGGCCAGTGACACTGCCCTCTACAGCTAAGATGGTGAACAACAATTCAACCTGGAGCTGGGCTGCTGGGAGTCCCCGGCAATGGCGTAGGCTGCAGCCCCTGCTGCACTGGGTTGCCATGGGCTACCCTGTGTAGCCAGCAGCCACAGTGAGCGGCCATCCAGAAGCCGGCGACCGATCTGCCTCACCCTGGAAGAGCGCAATGATAATACCAACATGGGCCAGTGAAACAATGTCCTCCACAACTAGACTGAAGAACAAAAGGACAGCAACTTGTCTGTTCCCCTTCCCCCGATTCCCCAGCGCTGTTCCCCTCCCCCAATTCCCCAATAAAATCTTTAAAAAAGAAAAAAGAAAAGAAAATCAGAAAATCATGTAATTTCTCTGGGTTTTAGTTTGCTCATTGTATTACTCAGGGTTTTTTTCAGAGAAACAGAATCAGATCTATCTATCAACCTATCTATCTATCTATCTATTATCTATCATCTATCATCTATCTATAGATAATATAGAGAGAAGAGAGAGTTTTTAAGGAACTGGCTCATGTGATTGTGAGAACTGGCAAATTCAAAAGGCAGACCAACAGGCTGGGAACTCAGGTAGGATTTCTATGTTTCTGTCTTGAAGCACAATTCTTCTTCAGGAAACCTGTCTTTGCTCTTAAGGCCTTCAACTGATTGGACAAGGCCCACCTACATTAGAGAAAGTAATCTGCTTTACTCAAATAATTGTACATACTAATCATATCCACAACTACTTTCACAGCAACATCTAGAGCAGCGTTTGACCAAACCACTGGGTACCATAGCTGAGCCAAGTGAACACATAAAATTAACCATCATACCCACTGGCAAATGAAACTGGAAGTTGTTACTGATGTCTAGGGCCCTTTGACTTTATTGTTCTATAGTTCCATTTTCTTTATGATTACTTCTCATACATATAGCTTCTGGAAATAACAAGATGACAATGTAAATATTTAACTTAGTTTTTTTTACTCTATCCAGACAACTCAAGGTATGGCTCAACGTTTTTATTGTTACAAAATTGTGGTGTCGATAGTAGCCAACCTTTCAAAAAGACAATGGAAAGAGAAAAATGACTTACTGCAGTTGTGTCATGCTCCTATTAAAACATATTCCTACAATCTTCAGCTATATATCAAAATCACGCTGTGCACAGTTTATAAACATTGCTTCTCATTTGGAACATTTCATTACTTCATATGCTCCTCCACGCAAAAAAACAAAACAAAACAAAAAAACCTGGCTCTTGCTGTGTGTTTTCTTCCATTAGTTCATAATATTAATTA